AGTTAAAGATTAGTGACACTGTTTACACCAAACTCCTACCATACTTATGTTATGTAACTTTACATTAATAACACCAGGAGTGAAACTTTAAATCAACATTAGTTATGTTAGTTATAAACTGAACTGAGATGTTTCAGTCATCTCTGACTTAAATGTTGAACTGAAATGTTGGATTTTAAATGAAGGGGTCAGCGTTAGAAAGATCAAAGGCTCTTTGTTGAGGACTCTTGAATCTAGCGCTGTAGACAAGAACCACCTTTGACAAGTCCAAGACCAGGAGGAGTCGAGACCAAGTCAAGACCGAGACAAAAAAAAGAAACCTTTTGCCGTTGCCAGTGAGAGGAGTTTTGGCAGCCAGGCATACGATTGTTGGTGACGTTGATTTACCACCTCGTAACCATGGTTACCAATCGTCAATACCAGTTCTAGATGGATTTTGAATTAAACTAATACTTGTTTTCTGAAGAAGGGCACTTAATTTATTGATGGTTTTGTTTTGAAAGAAGGTAGTTCAGATAAAAAACAACAACATATTACTGGACTCGTTCGAGATCAACGGCCAAGTCCGAGTGCAAATACCACCAAGTCCAAGAAAATAGAAGAAACGTCTCGAGTACTACAGCACTGCATGAATTCAGGTTAATTATACTGTAATTAATTATCCTCTATCTTCTCAGCAACAAATATAAAACACATTTATAAAAGACACACTTTATTTCAAGTATGAACTTACAAAAGTTACAGTAAAACATCTCCACAACAAAACTCTTAAACTTTCTCCACAACAGTTCAGGTTTCTTTGCCCAAGTAACATTTAGCTCAACATTATTAAATTTAAATGTACAAAATTCCAGTAACACTTCATCGAGGAAGTCAAATAAAAAGCTCTCAGTGACTGTTCAGGCACACAATCTGGAGGAGGGGATGCTGCGAGGAGCTCCGGACTCCCCACTGAGTTAATCCAGAAATGGTCCATAAATATCAGACTGGAATGATACAAAATGGGAGACCCGCTTCCAGCTTTTAAAATAAAATAAAAATCTCTTGGTGGACGTCATCCAAGTGTCGGTCAGATACAAAACATCATGTCAGTCAAACGTCCACACATACACTGTTGTGTCTTTTGTGAAGAAAAAAATGTTTGGATTCACAGTTCTGGAGTGGCAATGACCAAAATATACAGTCACTATTAGAAACTACGATAAATACTGAACCTCTCCTCTGACACAGAAACAGCCCACTGTTATACCATATTGTTGCTCTCACCGATTTTATCCACCAGCTGTAAGAGAGTAAGAGAACAAACCAGAGTTATTTATAAGCTGCAAACTGATTTAGATTAAAACATTCAATGTAAATTAAGTTTAAAGTGCAGAGGAAGAACAGAAGGTTTTTTCTTTGTCCGAAAGTTCATTTAAATCTAAAATATTTAACCTGAGGACCTAAATATTCATATTGAATTGAGAACAAGGGGTCCAACTTTCAAATGTTATATATAATAAAGCATTTAATGTTGTTGTAGCTTTTGATACGATAGTTAAAAAGTCCCTTAACTGTAAAACTAAATAATCTTTGTGATGAATTATCCATCTCAAGTTTCTCCAATGATTTGAAGGATTGTTCAATCTGCAGTTCATTGATCGGCATGAATACTTACTGTACTGATCCCCGGTAAGCTGAGCAAAGACCCGAGCACAGGAACTCGCCTGATGAAGCCTACGGCCACCGGGAAGAATCCTCTGTTGAAGAGAGAGAAAACGAGGTTAGACCAAAAAGAATCACATTATTTCAGGATAGCGGTGACAGTGAGATTCAGTTCCGTCTGCTCGAGCTGACCTGAATAAGAGGAAGAACCCGTAGATCTCCAGAACGACTCCGATGATTGGCCAGCCGATGAGAACCACAAGCACTCCTCCCAGGAAGAAGCTGGTGGCTTTTACTTTGTGCCTCTGGAAGAAGAATCTGAAGGTTCGCTCCAGGCCGATGACGAAGGACAGGCCTGAGACGAACAGGATCTGCACGGAGAGCAAAGACACAGGATACGATCGCAGGTGTTCAACAGATGTTGGACCGTCGCACACTGTGGTAGCGGTTTTATTGATCGACTCACATTTCCAATGGCGAGGAGAGCTTTATCAAAAAACAGCATCATCCCAAAGAAGAGGAAAAACACGCCGAACCCCGTCAGCCCCATCCCAATTTCTGTAGAAGAAACACAACAGTTATTATTACAGACAAGTGGGAACATCACATGACTTAAACCACTGATAAGAAACTGAGCAGCTGCAGACAATAACAGGGTAAAAAAATCAATGAGTGGGTTCAAACCACATCATTAAAATACCTTTAATATTCAGTGTATGTGTGGGACTATTTATTGTTCTTAAATATGTCTGGCTGCATCAGCTCATTGTGGACAATGCTGCAAATCACCAAGTAGGACTGCTTGATGACAATATTATTTATTATTTAAATGATCGTTGAATCGTTGACAGTAAATTCATCTGTATGGTCTTTACTTTACAGGATTACACACTCCTGTGTAATTATTGAATCAATAAACCATTTCAAAAGGTCTTTACTAACTCCTAACAACAGGATTATTACTATATTCTCAACAAACAGCTTAATTGAACTCCAATCAACTATTAGTTATAGTCATTTAATGCTAAATCAAGCCAAGTGAATGACACCGTTTCCTCTGTAACACTCGCAGCCTGAATGATGAACCAATTCACTGTCTCCTTAGGTCATCGATAATATGATAATCGATCAAACATGGTCAAATAAACCTGTAGTTGACCTCATTTTAAACACTTTCACACACACAGTGGAGTGACGTAACGACGCTCTCAGCCAATAGGCGTTGAGCTGCCGACCTCACACATTCAGCTAAACCGGGTTAAAACACAACGAAGACCAAGAACCGCGGAGGAACATGAGCTGCTCTTACTCTGTGAATCCGTGAGTGAAATCATTGTGGCGGCAGCTGCAGAGTTGATCCGCTCTCCCGCAGCTCGTAGCGACTCAAAGCTGCTGCTGCTGCTTTCTGCTGTGGAGATAAAAACTGAGGAGAAACAGCGACGGAGGCAAAGCTAGCGGTTTGTTACGCCACGTCTTCCGGAGGCTACGCAAGCACGTAACAAAGATCGTCTACGTGTGAAGATGTTCTTCTTGTTCTTGTTCTTGTTCTTGTTATTTTTATATTTATTTTTATTTTTATTTTTATTTTTATTTTTGTATTCATACTATTCATATTATTATTAATATTATTGTGCATATCTTATTATTATTGTGTTATTGTTATTTTAATATTATTATTATTATTATTATTATTTGTGTGCATATCTTATTATTTTATTTTATTATTATTATTAATAATAATAATATTATTATTATTTGTGTGCATATCTTATTTTATTTTATTATTATTATTAATAATAATATTATTATTATTTGTGTGCATATCTTATTATTTTATTTTTATTTTATTATTATACTGTGTGTGCAGATGTTGGTGAAATCTTCACTTATGTTTCTGACAGCTGGTTATGATGCATATTTTTATGCACTATTATAGTATAAATGTATATATAAAGTATTAAAAATGAAACTTTTCTTGACTACCTACACATTAATATATATAAAGGGGACTTTATACTTTTAAATTGCTTAAGAGCTTAAACTTGTAATTGAGTACTTTTATTTTGTGTTATTGTTAAAGATCTGATCCCTTCTTCCATCACGGGTCATAACTACAGTTTTTTCCATTAGATGCTCGAGCTGCACTGCTCACTCATCAACCATCAAAATGTCACATTAAATTGAGTCATTCCAACATAAGACTGACTGACTAAGACTGGTTTTAATTCAAACAAACTTATATTATTTATTATGTATCTTGCTAGTATATTCATATATATCTATAATGTTATGACATTAAATGTTAATGTTAGACATTTTGTTGTCTTGTACCTGTACTTGTGCAGTGACAATAAAGTTGAATCGAATCTTATAAAATTATTTATTTTAAATTGCACATGTACAGTTTAGTTTTTTTTAAAATTGCACACCGTTGTACTTGCACATTGCATATAGTGTATATATTTTGAATTTATAGTTTTATATGTTCTATCATATTTTGCGATATTCTTATTTATGATAAGTGTATTATTAAACTATATTCCCCAATGCTGTTGTGTGTAACTTGAATTTCTCCTATGGGGGGATTATTAAAGGTATATCTTATCTTAACATAATAATTTTATGAGCAGATTGGCTGTAGGCAGCGAGACAAAATCATGCATGTGAAATTCTGTGGTTGATATAACATCGACCGCTCAATAGTGCAAAAGTAAAACTGTAAAACAGTGAAATCACAGCAGGGTTTTCTGCTTTTATTTATTAGTTGGAGCAGTGAACTGTCTGGAGGTCTAAAGGTGAACAAATTATAGATTTAACAACACTGTATGCCCTTATGATGTGGCATGATACCATAATACCACCTCTATCCCATTTATTCCATTCAGGGTCACATGGGTCTGACCACCATGTATAACTTAATATTTGTAATTAAAATATCTCAGTAAACTCACTCAATAACCTCTGCTGAGTAAAATCATGCTCACAACAAGAGTTGTAGTCCACAGTGGGCAGTGTATTTCTGTTTTACTGCTCCACCTGTTTCTGTGTGCTTTCTGCTCCTCAGAGAATCGATCAGAGTGAAACCTCTCCGCGTTTGTAGAAAACACAACTGATCTGCGCATGCTCGCTCGAACATGTCTGCGCGTCACGGCTGCGCAGTAATTGCGCCGTTAGCTTAGCACACTTTAGCTAAATGTGTTGGGTTTTATTTGAACACATTTAACTAATAATTACTCCTCTTATTGTTGACCAGACAACGTGTTTATTTGCAATATTGCCTTAAATACAGAGAACGTTAAGCACACTGCGTACCTTTTGTCAGGAAATGAACTACAACTCCCACAAGCCCTTGCGACACGGAAGCGTTGCCGTCTCGGATTCAGACGTGTTGAAGTGAAACAGGAGTTCGTGAGGAAGCAGGAGACCTAAAACTAAAACCCTCCGATCAGAAATGAAGTGACACTTCGAGCAGAGAGGTTTTCTTCCGCAGTGGATCACCATGGGGACTGTTGTTGCCATTATCCTTGTTTTTGTTGGATGCTGTAGCAACGTGGTGTCTCTGGAGCTGCTTGTAAGGTCAGTGACAAACTTAGGTTGTTCATGAACTCATGTCCACTTTACTAACGTCACATTAAAGTCTGAAAGCTTCATGTTGTGTTCACTTCCCACTGCACGAGTGTTTGTTCCTGGGTCCAAACACAGAGTGTGTCAGTGTGGAGACATTACATGAGCATATTGTCAGCTGGAAAGTAATCTTCAGGCAGGCCTACTCACACACATATATACATTATATATACATAATATACATTATATATACGTAATGTATATTATATATACATATATCTGTTATTAAGTAGCCTTTTATGTTCGTTCACTTGTTTTTTACACGGTCAGGACACCACTGTGGTACTTTAATGAAACAGAGAACTTCATTTATCTCAAAGCTGATTATTGTGGCCAAGATACATATTAATACTGATAATAATAATAATACGTTTTATTTATAGAGAACTTTTCAAGGTACCACAGACACTTAAATGATTACATGATGTTAAAGTAATAGAAACAGCACAGTAAAAATAGATCTCTCTCTCTCTCTCTCCCTCCCTCTATATATATATATATATATAACACAGACACACACACACAACTATTAATCACTCATTAAAAGCAGTTCTGAAGAGGTGGTTTTGATAATTGATTGAACGTAGATGGATCAGTTAAGTCTATAAATATATACATAGTCTAAATATTCAGTATGCTGTATGCAATCCATACATTAAATAAAATAAGTTAAAGTACAAAAAAATTAAATAAAGGGATATTCAAAGTACACATGAATGAAAGTGGGCTTAAACTTTAAAATAGATAAAACAAAGCAGCTAAACTTAAGACACAATTAAATTAATAACAATACAAAAGTATCAACAGTGTCAGTAAAGAGTTCAAATTATCTCTGATAATTCAAACAGAATAAAGTTAAACAATGTGTCAAACAGATCTAATAATTACAACAGCAGAATAGTTCTCAGCCGTCAGAAGGTCTGACTATAACTATGTTTTAAAAGGTTAGTCTGTGGATAATGTAATAAAAGTTACCAGCAATGAATAAACAGTATCACTATATATCACGTTCTGGACTCTTTCTTTTTCTCCGTCGTTAGGAGGAGGCAGGAGTTTAACGTCATTGTTGAAAATCATGTCGGCACTGACAAAAGAAACAGAGAAACTCAGAGGATGATGATGACTCTGATGGAACGATTCCCGTCTCTGTTGTCCAACGTCATCTGTGACTGGAATAAAACATTTTCAGAAATCATCCCAAGAGTAAACTGAGACTATAATAGTAAATGTAGCACACAGTGAGAGGCGCTTAATAAATATAAACATGGTATTTTACTTGTTAAACCTCTTTATCTTAACTCTAAACTGTTACATCTGGATTTGGCTGATTTCCGTCTCCTCTGTTGTTTCGTTCCTCAGAGAGTTCCCAGGATGTGGCAACATAGTGACCTTCGCTCAGTTTCTCTTCATCGCATTAGAAGGTTTCATCTTTGAAACTAACTTTGGGAGGAAGAAACCAGCGATCCCTATAAGGTAAGATACTAAATAAAAGATCCAGTCAGCTGATGATGTCGACCGGATGCTGAAACAAACCTGTCGTCTCTCTTTTTGTCCAGGAACTATGTGATCATGGTCACCATGTTCTTCACAGTCAGCGTGATCAACAACTACGCTCTCAACTTCAACATCGCCATGCCATTACACATGATCTTCAGATCAGTAAGTCACTGTCACATAACCCTCCACCCGTCACCGCCACCACCTCTGATCTCCCTGTTTCACCCGCTGTCTGTTTCTTTGCTCAGGGATCTTTAATCGCCAACATGATCCTGGGAATAATCATCCTGAAGAAAAGGTAAACCTGCTTCCTCTGACAGCAGCAGTTCACTTCAGATCAGAGAACATCAGCATGCAGTTTGATTGCAGTTATTAATCTTTCACCTTCTCACTCTGCAGGTATTCAGCAAGTAAATATCTGTCTATAGCTTTAGTTTCAGCTGGCATCTTCATCTGCACCATCATGTCTGCCCGACAAGTGGTGAGTCCTCTGCAGAACAGCAACATATTACAATGTTTTTATTTGTTTTATGTTATTTCTTTGTGTCTTTTGTGACAATTTTCTCTCTTGAAATAATGTTTTATGCATCTTGTCGTTGTGTTTCTGCAGAATGTGGCCAATGAGGGATCCGAGGAACAAGGATTTTATGCCTTCATGCACTGGCTTATAGGTGAGTTCTGGGTGACAAAATCGTTTCATTTAGCATTTTACATATTTTTTTAATTCATGAGTTAGTCATTTTGTTGGAGCCATTTTTGTTTGTTTATTATAGAACTACAAGGCGTCGCATTTTGAGTTTTGAGAAATGACGCAAACACAGCACGTCCAGAATCAGATAGAATCAGACAGAGAAGAAATAGTTTTTCAGCCGTTCGTGACCAAACTAAGTTGTTTTTTGCTGTAGTTTTTGAACAGAT